CTCCAGGAAGGGCAGCAGTTGGTTTGGCAACCAACTCCAGGGTCGGTATGAGTATTCTCGCATGGGTTTTGAGCAGTCGAGGATGGGGTTTATAATTGTCGCCAACGTGTTCTCAGTCATTGACGATTCCTCCGTGTTTCAAATAATGAGTTGGAGTATTTTGAGGTTTCAAGTTGTGCGAGATGAAGATCCGTGGTTGAGGCAAGGCATTGTGAGATTCTGAGAGGGTGTATTGCGGTATCCGAGTGTGATGCCGTAAGTGGAAGATCAGTGGTTGAGGCAAGACATCGTGAGGTTCTGTGATGGTGTACCGGGGTATCCGAGTATGACGACCTAAAATATTGGATTATATTGAGACTTGAGTTTGTGAGATGGCAAGTGGAGTACCGAGTGACTATTGTTCCAGTGGGAGCCCTTCAACTAATTGTCATCGGACGGGATTATCCAAGAATGTGAATTGTAGCAGGAGAAAGTGTCTCGTTACGACAATTGTCGTCAGGAGTAGAGATGCTTAATCTGGGTGGGTAGGTGTACCTATCTATGATTGGACCGCGGAACATGAGCTAGTGGACTCAGTGGGGTGATGACTCGAGGATGAGATTGTGGGGTGATAAGAGAGCGAGTGGATCCGAGTGGGAGTAATCACTTGGGTCTGTCAGGGAAAAACCCGTGGGGTGAGCCCACGGCGAGTGAGACAATATTGTGAAACTGCGCGGAGCCGTAGCTTTCACGAGTCAATGAGAGAGTGTCGTAAGGCTGCGGGGAGCCGTAGCATTCACGAGTCAGTGAGAGTGTGTCGTAAGCCTACGGGGAGCCGTAACTTTTACGAGTCAATGAGAGAGTGTCGTTAGCCTGCGGGGAGCCGTAGCATTCGCGCGACAGTGAGAGTGTGTCGTAAGCCTGCGGGGGGCCGTAGTATTCAACAGTTAGAGCATGACGCAGAGGAGTTCTTAGGCTTGGGTAGCCTTACCAGTTGAGTCTTTGGGAACCTGGAGGCCGGACCAGGGGCGAGACGGGGGTCTCCGTGATGGTCGGGAACTGTTATATTCCGAGTTAGGGAGGGGCTATCGTAATCGGAAGGAATTGGAGAAGCGGTGTAAGCATAGATTTGCGGATCACGGGTTGTGAGTTGAGTATCAGATTGGGGATGAGTGGTTCCAATTATTCTGTTGAATCAGACTCCCGAGCTTGAGTTTGGTTCTATTGGTGTATTGAGTAGTCAGGATGAGATTCCGGATTTCCGGATAGGTTTCCTTCGAGGGGTAATGGGTTCCATCTGATGTCTTAGACTTGAGTGGGTCAGTTCGTTGGTTTGGGAAGGACCACGAGTCGCATGGAACTGGTGAGTGGTAGACGACAGAGGTCGGAGGTGAAGCGACTTCAGATGGGGTTGAGGTAAAGTGAACTTCGTGACTGGTGTGTCATATGATGGGCAGAGATAGCTATTGTGAGAAGGAAGTATGTAAAGTCGTTTTATGGGTGTGCAAGGATAGCCTTGGAAGTTCGATTGTTGGGTCGAGAGCTGACCTGGTACCCGGTGTTGGGAGAGATGTTTGAGAGGAAGCGGGGGCTTATGATTGTGGATGTCAGAGGATAGTTCCGTGCGGGCATGATCATTTCCTTGTGTCTGAGGACAGAGTTTTGAGGCTCATTTCTTTTCAGATTGGTTTTGATAGCAGTGCAGGTGGTGGGTCCCTGGTGAGATGTGACCCTTCCGCTCCTTTTGAGCACCGATCTGGATCGATTGGTATATCTGATATGAGTGATCGATAGCCAATCATTGTTCATCGACTTATTTCCATCATGCGCAACAAGAAAATCAGAGTTGACAGTGTGTTACTGGGGTCTGTTATTCGATGAGCAATTAACGTGATGATATCTTTCACGGGCGGTCTGGCGGGGAGACATACCACTAGAGTTTCTAGGTTCTGAAGAGTCAGAACTGGTACCACAGCGGAGAGGGGTCTGTCCTGTTTCGGGATTGGGAGTTCCGGATTAGGTTTGGGTGTCTTGGAAGGGGGATTGTTGTATGATATGAGATTTTTGGTGGTTCTTCTCAGGTTATTGAGTTCGATCTATGTGTTGTCAAGGAGCGATTTCGAGGGCGAAAACTAAATCAAGTGGGGGAGAGTTGTAACACCCCGAATCCTGGATGAGAAATTTAAGATTTTAATGCACTTTGGGGAACCTACTCGATGAGTTGGTTGGTTCTGACTCGTCGTGTAGGGGCTGAGCTGGCCACACGTGTTTTGAAGCCTACTCGTCGAGTCGAGGGGCTGGACTCGATGAGTTGAGTTTGTATTGAGAAATCCCTAATTTTAGGGCTTGCACCCTATTTAAAGGACTCTAAGCCTCCACCCTGCCTCCCTCATCACTCTCTATGTCCAGAGAACAAAACCTAGCGGGCTAAACACTATCTTGAGTGTGTGTGAGGCTTAAGGTGCTTATTTTGGTGGGATTCTTGAAGAGGCTTGACGATCCAGGAGCTTGGATCAAGGAGGAGGCTGAGCATCTGTTATCTACTTCATGTTGGCATCCTATTTCAAGTAAAAAGTCGTTACCTTGATCAATCTAGCATTAGATCTCATTATTTATGAGTTTATGGCTTTTATCGCTATTAGACATGATTAGCTAGCTGTGTTTATTTTGTTATTGTCTAAGGGTGTATTTGTAACTTTTTTATTCTATTTATTGCATTCCTCTCTGCCTAATTGTGCATCAGAGAGTTCTTTGTGAGTTACGATCATATGGTATCAGAGCACTAACCGTTCCTCTTCTCCTCTTCCGTTCCTTCCTTCTCATCTTCATCTTCTACATGGCTAGTTCATCTTCTGATTCCCTCCTCTCCATGAATACAGTTCTTCATCTCATCTCCAATCGTCTCACACCTTCAAACTACCTGCTGTGGAAGAATCAAATTCTTCCCTTTCTCTCTTATCAGAACTTGATGCCCTTCGTTGATGGCACCTCCCCTACACCGCCGCCTACATTAATCACTGATGGAAAATCAACTCCAAACCCGGAATTTGCTGCCTGGCAATTCGCTGATCAAAGGGTTGTTATTCTCCTTCAGGCCTCCCTATCTGAAGAAGCTTTCTCTGAAATTGTTGGTCTGTCCTCTGCACGTGACATCTGACTGGCCTTAGAAGATGCTTACAGCAACTCCTCCGTCGAGCGCATTCAGAATCTGCGGGATCAACTTCGGCAGATCACCAAGGGTTCTTCCTCTGTTGCAGATTTTGGTCGAAAATTTTGTGCCCTATGTGATCAGTTAGCAGCGATTGGTAAACCTGTGGCCGATTCTGACAAGGTTCATTGGTTTCTATGCGGTCTCGGAGCACCTTTTGAGACCTTTTTCCACCGCGATTCGAGCCTCGCGCACTTCTATCACCTTCTGTGACCTTCTTGCTCAAGCCGAAGGGCATGAGTTGTTCATGCATTCTATTCACGGTTCATCTACACCACCGGTTGCTTTCAATGTGAATTCTCGTGACTCTCCTCCTACTCGGGGTCGCGGTGGTCGTTTTTCTCGTGGCGGTCGAGGGCGGGGGCGTCGTCCTCCCCACTGCCAACTTTGTCGGACTAATGGACACTTCGCAAATACTTGTCCTTACCTTGCTCGGTTTGCTAGCTCCCCTGTTGCCACTTCCGATGCCGATCTTTCAAGAGCCTTTCATGCTCAATGTCATGTGACTTCATCTGGCCCCGATTGGTATGCCGATTCGGGTGCATCTGATCACATGTCATCCTCAGCCGCTTCTGTCAACAATCCGACTCCATTTTCTGGTCCGAACAAGGTTTCCTTTGGTAATGGTACGACTCTTCTTATATCCCACATTGGGCACACGTTTTTACACAAGAATATCCATCTTCGGGATGTGTTAGTCGTTCCCAATCTCACTAAAAACCTTCTATCTGTTAGCAAATTGACATACGATAATTCTCTGGATGTTTTATTTTCTCATCCTAATTTTTACATTCAGGACCGAAAGACGAAGCAAGTTCTAGCACAGGGCCGGTGTAACGGTGGTCTTTATGTGCTCTCCTCCAATCCGCATGTCTTTTTTGCTTCCACTAGTTCCAAGTTGAAGGCTTCTTTTGAACTTTGGCACGCCCGTTTAGGACATGTGTCCTATGACTCTATTTCTCTGTTAAATAAAAAGGGCCAATTGTCGGTTACCTCTATTTTACCCAAACCGTTTTTATGCTCTTCTTGTCAGATGGCTAAAGCTCATCGGTTACCTTTTGTAAACAATGAAAAACATGCTATGAAAGTATTAGATCTTATTCACTGTGATTTGTGGGGACCTTCTCCCGTATGTTCGGTTGATTCTTCTCGTTATTATGTTGTGTTTGTAGATGACTACTCTCGATTTACGTGGTTTTATCCACTAAAAACAAAGTCGGGTTTTCATGCTGTATTGGATGTATTTCTTAAATTTGTGCAGACCCAATTTAACACTAAAGTCAAAATCTTTCAAAGCGACGGTGGCACGGAATTTCTCAATCACTTAGTTCGTTCTCTACTTGAGAAAAATGGCACATTTCACCGTATTTCATGCCCGTACACTCCACAACAAAACGAGCGGGTCGAGCGGAAGCATCGCCACATCGTTGAGACAGGTCTTGCTATGCTCTTTAGCGGTCATGTTTCCCCATCTTACTGGGTTCACGCATTCAGCACCGCCGTCTATATTATCAACCGGATCCCCTCTTCAGTATTAGATAATCGCTCCCCATTTGAGATGCTTTTTAAGACTCCACCTTCCTATGCTCATTTTCGCCCGTTCGGGTGTCGGGTCTATCCTTATTTACGTGACTATGTGGATCACAAACTATCTCCACAAAGCCTTCCATGTATTTTTCTCGGGTATTGCTCTCAATATAAGGGGTTTCAATGTTTGGAGCCCTCCACATCTCGTATCTTTGTCTCTCGTCATGCTCGCTTTGACGAACAATGCTTTCCCTTCCATAATGATGCAACTTCATTACTGGCCCACATGCTTGTTTTATCACAGTTTCGAGATGACGCTTACGATGCTACGACACTGCCACCGTCTCCACCTGCTACTGTTACCGCTCCAACACCAACTCCCATGTTACCCTCGTGGTGTCTATCTGAGGATCACTCTCCACCGGCCGCTTCTCCCATTCGTGCTCCCACTGTTGATAATAATAACCATGACGCTAATGATCACAACCATGGTGGTGTTGATTCTGACTATGATGTTGTCTCTGAAGATCTTCCAACTGAGCCGACATCTTCGGTCTCCTCATCTCCATCACCACAATGTCCTCCTCCTCCGAGGCACCCGATGATCACCCGGGCTAAAGCTGGCATTTTCAAACCTAAATATCGGGCGGATCTCGCTTCTCATGGGCTTTTGGCAGCTCTTCACGCTTCCACCGATCCCACCAGTTTTAAAACCGCCGCTCGTTACCCGCATTGGGTGGACGCCATGCAACAGGAGTTGGATGCTTTACGTCGCAACAATACCTTCACCTTGGTCCCTCGCCCGCACAACCATAATGTTGTTGGTTGTAAATGGATATTTCGGACAAAATACCTTGCTGATGGTTCCATTGATCGTTACAAGGCCCGTTTAGTTGCCCAAGGATTCAGCCAAGTTCCTGGTTTGGATTACTCTCATACTTTTAGCCCGGTAGTTAAAGCCGCTACAGTCCGCATTGTTTTGTCTCTTGCCGTTACCAACAAGTGGAATATTCATCAACTTGATGTTAACAATGCTTTTCTCAATGGCCACTTGAGTGAGTGTGTGTATATGGAGCAGCCACCGGGTTTCCAAGACCCCCAATTTCCTAATCATGTGTGTCGTTTAAACAAAGCTCTCTACGGCCTCAAACAAGCGCCACGGGCTTGGTTTCATCGGCTTAGCTCGTTTCTAATCACAAATGGTTTTGTGTGCAGCCGGGCCGACCCTTCTCTCTTTATTTTTAAACGGGGTGTATGTATTATGTATTTGTTGGTTTATGTTGATGACCTGATCCTTACTGGAAATCAGGCCTCGATTATTCAATCCTTTATCCACAAGTTGCATGTTGAATTTGCCATTAAAGACCTTGGTCGTCTTAACTACTTTCTTGGTCTCGAGGTGACATATACTACCGACGGTTTGTTCCTCAGTCAGTCCAAATATGCCCATGACATCCTCAAGCGGGCAAATATGATTGATGCCAAACCTGTCACCACTCCCCTTGCCGCTAATGCTGCTTTTGTCACAAGTGGTGACCCGTTTGATGACCCCAGCATTTACCGTTCACTTGTGGGAGCACTCCAATACTTGACGATTACCAGACCTGATATCTCGTATGCGGTAAATCAAGTCAGCCAGTTCCTTCAGGCTCCGACTCTCTCCCATTTTCAGAGTGTCAAACGTATTCTTCGGTATGTCAAGGGCACCATGTCCTTCGGCCTAACTTTCTCTCACCGAAATTCTCCATCACCTCTTCTCGGGTACTCTGATGCTGATTGGGCTCGTTGTCTTGACACCCGACGCTCCACCTATGGCTACTCTATCTTCCTCGGTGGCAACCTTGTTTCCTGGAGTGCCAAGAAGCAACCTACCGTCTCTCGCTCCAGCTGCGAATCCGAATATCGGGCCATGGCAAATACCGCTGCTGAACTCATTTGGATTACCCATCTGCTTCAAGAACTCCATGCTCTCCCATTTGTTCGTCCCACTCTCCTATGCGACAACAAAAGTGCGTTATTTCTTACTCAGAATCCGGTTTCCCACAAGCGTGCGAAGCATATTGAACTCGATTACCATTTCATTCGGGAGCTCGTTTCTTCTGGGAAACTTCATACCAAATTCGTATCCAGCAAGCTCCAGGTGGCTGACATCTTTACCAAAAGTCTTCCCCGCCATCAGTTTGAGTTCTTCCGTGACTTGCTCACCATTGGTCCACCACTGTTCCGCTTGAAGGGGGATATTAGACATGATTAGCTAGCTGTGTTTATTTTGTTATTGTCTAAGGGTGTATTTGTAGCTTTTTTATTCTATTTATTGCATTCCTCTCTGCCTAATTGTGCATCAGAGAGTTCTTTGTGAGTTACGATCATACTAGCTTCTTCTTGAGTCATTTGTGATTATGAGCATGATATGGAGATGAGATTTCGGATCTGGATAGTATGAGGTCCCTTGGACCGAAAGGCACAAGCTTTATCAAGCTTAGGACAACCTTCATGAGCTAATGTCCTTGTAAAGCCTTGTTTTGATGAGTTTAGCCCTTCTAGACCTGCATGAACGTAAAGCTTGCAGCTTTACGTTGTATCTTAGCCTTGGGAGGCTAGATCTAGAGTTTGGGGTGGTGTTTCTGCCTTAAAACGTCTGAATGAGAAAACAGACTTAGGGGACTCGACGAGTCGATGAGCCGAATCGACGAGTCGGTTAGAGTTTAACCCGATGGTTTGGACGCGTCACAGACTCGGCGAGTTGGTAATACAACTCCAAGAGTTGAGAGGGTTTTACCCATCCATGGTTTCAGAGTGGACTCGACGAGTTGACGAGACAACTCGACGATTAGGAGGGGTTTTCTGGTCCTTCGGGCACTGAGTGGACTCGACGAGTTGGCTAGCAACTCGGCGAGTAGATTTGGGTTTTCGCGATCTATTGTGTTCTGGGGGACTCGACGAGTTCATGAGGTATACTCGGCGAGTTGAGTCAACATGGACTGTTGACTTCCGTTGACTTTTAGAGTTGGATCAGTTTGGACCTTTGACTTTCGTTGACTTTAGGGTTTTGGTCAACTGTGGATTTTGGAGGCCATGGAGGGGTGGAGATTAGACTTGCAGCTCGAGTGTGTGATACGTTGCTTTACTCTGCAAGGTGAGTCTTCTCACTATACTTACCTGAGTGATAATTTATGTGTGACCGGAGGGTCTTATTCGTGTTATTGACCGGAGGGTCTTATTCGTGTTATTGACCAGAGGGTCTTATTTGCGTTATTGACCGGAGGGTCTTATTTGCTTATACCGTGATATGCGTTATTATGCATTCTGTCTTTGTGACTTATGCTATCATGTTATTCTGTGTATATACTGAGTTATGACGGAAGGGTCCTATGTGTTTATATTGCGTTAGGTGATGTTATGTATGGTCTTGTGATATGTGCTATATTATTCTATGTTATGCTGAGTTGAGGGACCAGAGGGTCCAACCCGAGTTGTGAGACCGGAGGGTATTCACTGAGACACATCGACCGAAGGGTTCGAACCGAGATATCCATGAAAGGCTAATGAGATGTGTGCAATATTTTGGGGAACTCACTAAGCTTCGTGCTTACCGTGTTATGTGATATGTGTTTCAGGTACTTCTCTGGATCGCGGGAAGGTGCCGACTTGATTGTACACACGAGATGGAGTTATGTTTTTGGAGGATCCTGGATTTATTCAAGAATTATGAATATGTGTTTTCGATAATTTGACAATTGGGGATTTTGTGAAATGAGTTGATGAGATTTATGTGATTTTAAAAATGAAAAATTTGTTTGAAAATTTACGGTGTTACAAAGTCGGTGCAGGTCCTGCGCCGGCTACACTGAGGATCACTAACGGAGGTCAGGGTCGAGCAGCGCCCCTGAGGGCCCATGGACGCGCCTTTCAGCTTACAGCAGAGGAGGCTAGGGCAGCACCAGACGTGGTTGCTGGTATGTTTCTATCCCTTATCTTACTGATTATATCTGTTTTATGCTTATATGTTTGTACCTGTGATTAGGTACGTTTTTAGTGAACTCCTTACGTGCTTTGGTATTATTTGACTCGGGGGCGAGTCGGTCGTTTGTTTCTCAGTGTTTCAGTAGGGAGTTTGGGCTGCCAATGGGATAGTTAGACTGTCTGTTGCGGGTCTCCATCGCCAATGAACACGGGGTTTCCGCTTCTTCGGTGTATCGGGGTTGCATATTGGAGATTTTCGGAGTGTCTTTTCCGATAGACCTGATTCCGATTCCCATGGGGGATGTATGTGTGATTGTGGGTATGGACTGGCTTAGTCTTTTCGGTGCCATGATTGACTGCGAGGGTCAGCGGGTAGTAGTTCGAACCCCAAGTGGGGGAGAACTGATTGTTTACGGCGAGGGCACCAGATTGGGATCATGGTTTTGTTCGCCTGCCAGGGCCCGACAGTATATTCAGCACGTGTGTGCGGGATATTTAGCGTATGTGGTGGATACGCGGGTCAGAGATCAGGTTTCAGTATCAGAGGTTCCAGTAGTTAGAGAGTTTACTGATGTGTTTCCGGAGGAGTTACCAGGAGTGTCTCCGGAGATACAGGTCGAGTTCAGGATCGACCTTGTGCCAGGTGCGGCCCCTATCGCCAAGGCGCCGTACCGGTTCAAATGTGGATAGTGCTATATATATATATATATATATATATATATATATATATATATATAGAGAGAGAGAGAGAGAGAGATCCAGGTTCAAATGTGGATTGACATCTATTGTGCGGACGTGTGGATAGTGCTACTCTGTGAGAATGACAAAGAAAATATATTGTTTGGTAATGTGAATACGTTCAATCTTACATAACTATTGTCATTATCACACATTCTCACTAATTAAATCGTCTATAAGGTTATTATAGACTTTTTATTATTATTATTTTCATTCTTTCATAATGTTGTCAGAATGTTTATTGAGTCGTATTCTGTAAGAATGAAAATGAGTAAAAACCGATGCGTGAGAAGAAAAGTGAATAAAAATTAGTGAGAATGTATGAAAAATTGAAAATGACGATAGTTATGTAAGGTTGAACGTATTCACATTATCAAACAACTTATTCTCTTAGTAATTCTCATAGAATAACATTGTGTACACGTCCATACAATAGTTGTCCACCCACATTATAACCTAGCCCTATATATATATATATATATATATATATATATATATATATATATATATGAATTTATGGACAAATATCTATTATTTTCTCATGGATAAGCATCACATTAATGAACCCTTTCCAACACAGAAAGTGAGACAATTTATAGACAATTTACACACAAATTAAGATATTATTATTATATATATATATATATATATATATATTAAATTTCTCTTACCTTAGCAGCTACAGTAAAGTGACTTTTTAACATGTTTGGTCACATATTTGCTGTATATCACAATGTTGTTCATCGAAATTGCTCCTTCCTGCTCAATGTCACCGCTTTTTTTTCCTAGATTTCCTCTCCTTGGTTTGAGAGCCCTCCTGTACACGTGGTGGCGTTGGGATATCCACTGTGTACGTGTTTTCCATTCGACCTTCTCTCTTCTCTACTCACCGATTCTCCTATAATCCACCGCTCCTTTCCTCTAATCATTCACCGATTCTCCTATAATCCACCGCTCCTTTCCTCTAATCATTCAACTGCACCGCCATCGCATATGAGTTCCAGAAATAGCGGGGATCGATTTCGCCTTCCGCCTCCTTCTTCCCGACTCCCTTAGTCGCACCCTCCTTTATCTCTAAAATCCTCAATCTACACAAACGGAAGTTACATATCGCTTCTGTATCTGTGTCCTTGAATTTTTTGGATCATTGTTCCGATAATCAGAGAAACATTCGAAGGCGTAGAGATTGGGGGGTCCGACAAGGAAGAAGGAAGAAGCAATAACTTACACCGACACTCCTGTTGTCTCCGTCCTTCGCATCGCCACCTCCGGTTATCTCACCGCTTCCACCTCCTACATCGACAATCAAAACAAATACGTACATGAATGTAGACCAGATGCGACCGTCTTCACGCTTCTTCTCATACGGTTTTGTGTCCGTTTACACCTCTCACCGTTCCTGTGCAGGTTCGTTTTTTTTATTTTAATTTAGTTATTCAATTCGATTCAGTTCTGTGTTGCCCTAGATTTTTCCTGATTAAGGTTCTTAGGGATATTTAGTTCCGTCTTGCTTGCCTTGCGATTTAAAAAAAACAACCAGTTTGATACAGTGGTTCACAAGGATTCACAGTAAGTTATTCATGCCATTATTAAGGGCTTATAGTTCATGAAATTTCTGATTACGTCTCTGGAAGTTTATAATTTCACAGTTGTGGCATGTCCAATGACAGAATTCTCTTAATAATGTTTTGGAACATCAATTCGTGCGTGTTTGGTGATGCATACCATTCACTAAATCTATCCTCATCTCCACCATATGAATTCAGGCAAGGTCTACGTGCCAGTCAGAGTACAAGGTATTCGTTCGTCTTTCTCCCATAAGTTGAAAGTGTATTGAAACAGATGGAATTTTCTCTTTCTATTTTCTGTAATTTTTCCTTTTATTTCAGATGATTTCAATTTCTTCAGTTGTGGTGTCAATTTTAGCCTCTAATTGAATCCCTTTAACATTTCTAATTTTCGTTTCAGGTAAGATTGGATAGTAAATTACGATATTGTCTTTGTTTTCTGTCACTTATCTGTAATCTTTATCTATTTCTTTTCCTGAAAAAAAAGAGTAAAGGTCAATAATAGCGACTGCAACGTGAAATGGTCTGCAATTAGGGTTCTTACAGAGAATTCAGCTCCAAAAAGAGCTTATTGCGTAAGGTGACACCATTAAGTAAATCCATTTTGTAAGTTTTTGTTGTAATTTATTTTAAATCTTTGAACTATTGACCGCCAACTGATATTCTCATTTGTTTGGGTTTTTAGGTTATAGTTTTTCTGAATCTTTTTTTTTTATTAAGGATATTGGATTGTTTTTCCGTTTCAGGTTATGTTACTTCATTGGTGCTATGTTCTTGACTGTCGTTGATGCCTTGAGCATGGTATATTAGGATGATAAATTGAAAGTATTCCTTTCTTTTTTTTCCATGGTTGTTTTACCTTTTCTAATATACATTCTTTTTTGTCCTTAGGTGTTTTATGGTCAGAGGAGTTAATGTGGATTGATTAATCAATATTATGTAGTTGGTGTTAACTTGGACATATCTAGGACCTGTTTTCTGGTCTTTTACTGTTGGGTAGGGTAAGGTTTCAAATAACTAATATTTTATTCTTTGTTTTGTATGCATCATAAAATAGAAAGTGGAAGTCTTATGTTATCAATATTTTCTTTGTGAATGAAAAATTAAGTTTCATTTTGATAAAATATAAAGTTTGCCAAAATATAACCAAGTCTGGTCTCTCTTTTTAAAAAAATAAAAATAAAAAATAAAAAAAACTTCTCATGAGTCAGGCTAACAATATTTTTTAAATTGAAATTTTACTAGTCTTTGTCTCACATAGTGAATTTTTGTTTTCAGAATCACTGGTAAAATGTGTTTTCTGGCTTTGTTTCAACAGCAATGAGCATCAAAGTGTTGTCAACTGCAGTTGTTGGTAATTATAATGTACCTCTACAGGTCGTTAGCAACTTTGGTTTCAATGTTTACTGAATATCTAAAAATCTTATACTAATTTGTAAATTAATCTATAACAAAATGATTTCGTTAAATAATTTGACAGAACATGATTAAAAAAAATTCGTTTTTGTTATATAACTTAATAGCAAGGGTATTTGCAAAAATGAGCTTTTGGAATATTGGAATATGATAAATAACCAGACTTTCACATCAATACAGTACAGAACAAACTATAAGTAATCCAAACTTTCGCTAATTATGTATCTGTTTATAACTTTCCTTCAAATTATGCAGGAGCGGTAGAAGAATCCAAAGGATTTATCACATTCTCCTTAACTAGCGGACTTAAATATCTTGTCTCCCAGGTATGTTGAACTTATTTCTTTCTGAATCTCTAGACTCAAAAAGAATACAACTGTAATTGAAGCACTCTGCCACAGCTCCAGTTGTGCAAATGTTCCTGTTGATGCTCATGTTTAAAAACTATAAAAGTGTATTAATAGTTGCACCTGTGAAATCTGATGAAGAATCCAAATCCTAAATTGGTGATAAACGGTAAACAAAGTTAACAGAGGTATAAAAGTTTTTTTGGATTTGCCTTCTTAGTGTTATTCATTTCATATATGGAAATAAATAAAAATTAAAAAGATTGATTATAAAATTTTACAATAAAGAATTTTTTTTTTGAAGTTTCAAATATTCTTTTTACCTGTTTATTTTGTTTATTTTGATAAGAGGAAAGAAGAATGTGTTTACCAAAGCATCAGTTTCATGATATGAGGAAATAAGAATGTCTTTACCACAAGGACTCTTTTACACGGTTATTATTATTCTTATTATATATAAGAGCTACAAAACAACATATTTCCACTTCACATTTATCGTTTCTTCAAAATAATAATAATAATAATTTCTTTCTCTGGATAAATGACATACTTTTAGAATATTGATAAGCTTTTTTCATTAAACTCTTTCAAAATGGCCAGACCCTGAAATGAGACCATTGAATGACCAAAATGACCCTTATTGATTTGATGTGTTTTACGTGTTTGTAATTGTGTGCATTGAAATGTATAAGAAAACTATGGGAGTGGTTATACTTATGTAGGAGACACATGTTGATGATGGCAGGGCATATGTCAAATAATAATGATCGTGGGTTTGACTGGTACACTTACCGGAGACATAGGCTAGTTTTCTGAATTGCAGATTCTGTAAGTTTTTCATTCAAATATATAGTTTCGTGTAGAACATTTTTGAAATGGAGTAACTTAATGTGATAACCGTGACTTTAATGACAACACTACCAATAGAGACTAGAAATATTTTTTCTACAACTTTAAAACAAAAATTTAGTTTTCAGATAAAGATCCACAAAGTTGTGAACAAATTCAGGTTTTAAGTATTCTGAGAACAAAAGGAAATATAGGATTTATGTGAATACGTGAGATGTTCCAAATTACTCAGATGAGATGTTTATAGCTTATATACTAATAAGTTGTTTGATAATATCTAACGCCAGACCGTCAGGACTACTGAGCACCACCTTTGGACTCGGTCGTTGCAACCATCAGACCACCTAACATATTCATGGTTTGTTCATGTATTATTGATTTTTTTGTTTTTTTTTTCTTCATGCTTTTTGTCATAAAATTAAACCAAGTAACTTTGATTAAAATAGCCTCTTTAGCTTTTTTTTTTGAATGATTACAGGTATATATTCATACGGTTTGAGGATTTTGGATTGGACTACTTTTAAGATTTCTTACCCTTTCATACATAGGTAAACAAGCTTTGATAAGAAGCACAAATCATAAATTTGTCAGCTGGGTTTATTAGTTTTTAGTGCAAAAAAGATGGAAAATAACAAGGCAACCACATGAAAGCGAACAGTACAAGTACGTTTATTATAGCATTCTATTTTAATTTTTCTTGCAAACCATTGTAGTTTGCAAAATCCATTGAGTTGTAGAAACATAAATTTCTTGATTTCTTTATGCGTTTCGAAATAGGTTTGCTAATTTTACTAATAGTTACTAATTAATAATAAGCATGAATAGGTTTCCTAATAGTTACTAATAGTTACTTCATGCCATGAGTGATCACAAGAGTGTTTCAAACAAAAAAAATCAAAAAACAAACTTCTGCTAATCTTATGAAACTGCTATTGTAGGAATGTTGTGAAAGACTTATCAATTGGGACAATATGAGTGGCTGCATTTTCCATGATGTCAAAGGGTGTAAATCTTTCGATGTGTTTTTGGGGATCTTTTTCAAATAATTTTTAATCAATTTCAAAGAAATTCAAAAAATTCTAATTCAGGTCAACAAATTCATCTTATTTTTAAAGGCAACACTTCTTTTAAAATAATTATTTTCTGACTATTGTTAATGTAGGTTTTTGACAAAAGTGATTTGATTCTGACGGGTTGCAGCCCAGTTAAGCCTCTACCTTTTCATCTTTCCAGCAGGTATCACATAAGGTGAGATTTGTGATTAAATAGAGAATGAACAACCCTTATGTATGCTATGTTGCTATTTGTAGAAATACTTTTTTGCTAAACCATATATTACCTCTTTGCCCTCCGGACCCATTTATGCGTGTGGAACCGAAACATGAAGAGTTGAACCGGTTCATCAAAATGCGCTTCATTGGACTGATGTTTACTGGGTTTTTTTGCATATCTTAGAACAAAAATACTAAAATAGGCTAATGTATTTTCATTTTAATGTTTAGCTTTATGTAATTTGGATCCTTTTTTCTGCAAAGGGCAATGTCCTTTATTTTTATTATTTTAAGCATCAAAATTGTAAAAGGGCGAATTGCAGAGAATAGCAACATACTTAACTGTGGCTACCAATTAAGACAATCTACTATACATGCACACAAAAACACCACCTTCCAACCCCCGCAACGCGGGGGAACACATCTAGTTATTATTATTATTATTATTATTAATTTTATTTTATATTTACTATGTATGTGTATATGTGTTTGTACGTGTATGTGTATGTATGTATATACATGTGTATCTATTCACCATCACCATTGTTAATAACGAGGATGAAGCAGTTGCATTGCATACATGAATTGCTTCTCTCCTCGATCTTTTTTTAACATCTTATTTTCAATAGATTGGTAGCACACTTTATCTGTGATCTATACAAACTTGGTTGATAATACCCTAGAGATGAAAGGTTATTTATTTATTTATTTACTTATGTAGTTAATTACTATCTAACCACTCAATGCCATTGTAAAAGGATATATATATATATATATATATATATATATATATATATATATATATATATATATATGATTTATGAATTGATCATTCAGTACAGAGTGGTCAATATACTTTCATGTTTTATATATCTAGTCCTTCTCCTTTAAACATATTTCATTTTGCCCCACGATGAAAGCCTAGTGGTTGAGGAGTGAAATCTACACGAGGTCTACGGTTCCACACGATTACCTCCGATGTGAGTTGTAGGAGGGATTGATGTGAGCCACACGGATGGTGCCGTTTAAATTTTTTTATTTCATTTTATAACGTAATATTTGTTTTTCGTGTGTTTTATGTATGTAAATAAAGACCTGAAATAATATGATGAGATGGAAGAACCAATGTTTCCTCTTGGATTTAAAGCTATACCTGATGGGTTTTCTAGGTTACATCAAATAGATTTGCACAGTGAAATTTACATAAACACTTACGGGTACATGCAACCTAGAACACTATGACATTTTCTCAAGTTATAGCAACATATTTTATGAAACAATCTTCTAACCTATGAAATCGAAAAACACATGAGTTAGAACACATACCTTTTGCAAAAATCGAATGATGCAAACAATTCTCTTGATTTCTTCCTTGGAAAGCAAGCACCAATAATGTGGATGCCTGTAATGGTTCATACCCCAAACCCTAGAACTTTAGAATTCAAGATGAGAGAGGATGAAGGATGAGAAATTTCATTCTCTGACTTAGTGAAAGAGAGAGCCATAAATATGATGCCCAAGGGGTCCTATTTATGGTTAGAGAATTTCCAGGATAAACCCTGATTTGAATTATAAAATAATCAGATTTTATCTATTCAAGATAATTATTCTTATCAGCTATAAGAGGCTTCCAGAAACCCTCGAAACCCCTCTAAAATCGTCCATGCCGAAGGAGGGTTCTAGAATTCCCTTCCTTGCTCAATCATGAACAATTCCAATTCTACCATTGAACCTTAATTCCAATTAATTCTAGATTAATTCTGATTAATAATTAAGTAATTCCAACCATTTCTTATTAATTCAAAATTAATTATTAACTATTTCTAATTGATATATTAATCATATAATATACTACCAAATCATTTTATCAATTCTAAATATTTCTGGTTATGAAGGCAACTCAAAAATGACTTTACTTTTATTCACTAAGATTATATGGATTTAGTTAAGACCTTAGACACCTTAATCCAAGTCTCTCACTTGGATAAGTCATCAACTACAATTGCAAGTATATACTTTGAATAACTAGTAAATAGTGCTTTTCAAAGCCACTGTTAAACTCTAATTAACAGATGTTGGCCCTAAGATAAGTGATCAACTATTACTTTGTTCTACAAGATATCGTATGTACATGAGACAAGGATATGAATCAATCTCGTGGTCCAAGATTTTGTTCCCGATTTACAATTTATGATAAATAAATTCAGACTACTAATTGAACACATCAATTTAGTTCGGGCAAGGCCTTGTACATGAATGTTAGCATCAAATCACTAAGGAGCCCAAGCATATCAGTTTTCCTGTTAAGGCAAAAGGAACGAATAATTTTTAGTTATATAATCATAACCTTTACTCATCATGTCATACATGGAATCACATCTTATATCATCCATTTACAGATGCATTGATGTAAAACTAATGCATAACAGGTTTGCAAACTATAACTTATATATATCTCCATTTGAAAAATAGAAGATATGATCGTCTTAGCATTAGTCGTGATTGAATCCATGAAGTAATCTCTAAGCAGGGGTTTAGCCAATACATAAAGTCCATATTTCCAAGTTGTCACACCCCGAAACCGATGGCGGAAGCGTTCCGGGGTGGAGGACGTCATGTATAGCATCACAACCAATGAATAACAACAATCATAGCAACACAACCATTACAGTGAATACTTAAGTAAAAATGTTTACATCAATTCTGAAACTTGTTTGAATTACATCATATAACTTGTATGAATATAACATTAAACTCTTATTGCTTCAACTCTTCAAAAAAACCCAGCAGACACCTGTCTACTGATTTCCTGAGAATACAAGCAGTTTAAAAGAGTATCAACATAACGCTGGTGAGTTCATAAGCGGTGGTTTGTAGTGAAAATCGTTGATGAGTTCGGAAAATATTTGAATAGTTTCAAGAAAATCCGATATTTTCCTTAGTGAAAACGTAGTGTTATCAGTTCTGTAATAAACCATGAATATCTGTATGTTTCCAAGAAAATCCGATATTTTCTTTAGTGAAAAGGGTAGCGTTATCGATTTCGTATAAAACCATGAATGTTTGTTACTGAAAACTGTAGTGATATGCGAGAATACTACCTCATGTGACTAGCTAAAACTAATCATGAAGTGTAAGTATTTTATATGTGAAACCATTGCATAATCGGTTCTGTTTGAAAAACCCTGGCCTTAGCCAGAATACGTAGTGTGTATCAGTTCTATTTAGTAAAAATAGAACTATTGAAGAGTGTTAAGTTGTAAACTAAAGGTGATTTATACATATTTTGAGTCGTATAACCATGCTTGATATGACTAGACCTTTCCAACGTTCTTCAGGCGTCGAGTTAAATGACATTTGTACATCTCAGGCGTGCCCGCCTAACTATAGCTAGCAGTCCAGATGTGGGATTGTCAGTCCCGAATAGATCTATTCACAAATCTCAAGCTCTCCCTCCAGGAGACTCTGGTTATACAGTGGTAGGATTTATCCCTGTACACCTAAGGGTACAGTAGTGAAGTAGCGCCTCACAGTATCGTACAATCTAGTTTACATGTAGTGTAGTAGCGTTCTACCGTAGTGAAAATCCGTATGTATACCGTATATAATGATAATTACAGCTATGAAAAACCATGATAAAGTGGTGATGTAACTGTAAACTATTTCTGTCTTCGTGCATATGTTTAATAGTGAAAGTTTCTGTACTCGTGATGTTTAGAAAATCCCAAACTATACCGATTATAGTTTGCATGTATAGTGAATAGCGTGTCCGGAAAACTATGCAAATTTTTGTGAAAACGTCCCTTATGCTCAACACAGTACAAAAGGGTTAAAGTATGCGATTTGCATAAGTTTTGAAAACATTTATGATTAACTTGTATTCCCCCCCTAAAAACATTAAAAATATGGAAAATGTAGGGGTATGAACTCACAGTTCTTGTTGTGAAATCGTTGACTGAAATGAAGATCCTCGAGTTGTTGCACGCGACACTTAACGGAATCCTGTTATCAAATAAATACGTATATGTATCTAAATTAGCGATTTCGTTAGATAACGTGTTAGAGGTACACTTGAATTCGGTTGAGGAATGTTACCGGGACTTGATCGAATCGAAGAAGGTGGGTTTTCAGTCAAAAACACCACTTAAAAGGTGTTTACGGTCGAAGAGGAGTTTACGGTTCTTGAAGGCTTGGACCGTAAACTCAAGAACAGAGTTTACCGGTTTCTGGGCTTGGACCTTAAACTCAAGAACAGAGTTTACGGTTTCTGAAGGTTGGACCGTAAACTCAAGAACAGGGTTTACGGTTCTTGAAGGTGGACCATAAACTCAAGAAAATGGTTCTGATGCTGATTTCGAAGAGATAATCGTTTCCGGCGTTCCCAAGTGACTCCAAACGTGGTTTCTTCGATGATTTCCGAAGTTTGAAGGCGTTTTGAGTGTTTACGGTTAAGGTTCTTAGAGAGAGAAGGAGAGAGTTTTTGGCCAGAAATGTTCTAATGAAGGTGGAGGCATCGTATTTATAGGGGTGTTGGGGGGGGGGGGGTCCACTCTTCACTGACCGTAAACAGGTTTACGGTCGTAATCTCATTTAGACCGCAAATGCTTGATTTTTCGAGATATTCGGGGTTTCCTCGCGCGATTTTTGTTTCAACTCGTAAATAATTAATTAAATATAACTAGATTATTTTCTAAACCAAAAGTTTGACGGAAAAGTTAACAAATTCGAAATTTTATTAACGAAACTCGCGTAACGGAAACGAACAAAGTTTCGGGTTGTCACATCATCCCCCCGTTAGAGGGAATTTCGTCCCGAATTCGAACGAGAATACAAATCATGGATTAGGAAAGAGATGCGGATATTTCTGTTTCATCTGATCTTCGCGCTCCCAAGTGAATTCAAGTCCCCGCTTGGCATTCCAAGCGAACCTTCACTATCGGGATGCGACTTTGTTTCGTTCGTTTGACTTCCCGATCCATGATTTCGACAGGTTCTTCCACGAAGTTGAGGTTCTCGTTGATTTCAATCTCGTCGAGAGGCATCACAAGTGTCTCATCGGACAGACACTTCTTTAGGTTCGACACGTGGAAGACAGGATGGATGTTGCTGAGCTCTCGGGGTAACTGAAGTTTGTATGCCACGGGACCGATCCTAGCAAGGATTTCGAACGGTCCAATGTACCTTGGGTTTAGCTTTCCACGTTTCCCAAAACGTATCATGCCTTTCCAGGGTGAGACCTTTAGAAGGACGCGGTCACCAACCTGGAACTCCAAGGGTTTTCGTCTCTTATCGGCGTAGCTCTTTTGTCTATCTCGTGAGGCTTTCAGTCGTTCTCGGATTTGTATAATTTCTCAGTTGTTCTCGGATGATCTCAGGACCAGTGAGAGTACT